TAGAGAGAGGGAAGGAGAGAGAAATAGATAGATAGATAGATAGATAGATAGATAGATAGATAGATAGATAGATAGATAGATAGATAGATAGATAGATAGAACACTCATCTCTACCTCTCTTCCCTCGCTCACCACCAACTCTCCCTTACCCATCTAAACCACTTCCTAGCCTTTAACCCAGCCCCTTTTCAAACTATTCCTTAACCTTAACCCACGTCCACCTCCTCCTTGCCCTTAACCTTAACGCCAAAAAAATATCCACCCCTTAACATTAAACCCATAGCTATCCCCCCCCTAACCCTTAAACTTCACCCACCCCCACCTTCTCCTATCCCTTAACCTTAACCAATATCCACCTCCTCCTAGCTCTCAACTTTAACCCACTTCTGCCACCTCCTAGCCCTTAACCCATCTCAACCTACTTTCTCTCCCTTATCCACCCACACTTCCAACTATCCCACCTACACCTCCCCCTAGCCCTTAAAAGCCTAAAGCATCTCTACCTCCACTTCCTCTCCCTTTAGCACCTCAACCTCCAACACCTCTACCTCCATTTTTTTCTCTCCCGCCGTCCCCTTCTCCACCTCTACCTCAAGATGTAACACCACATTTCCCTTTCCCTTAACCACCTCTACATCCACTACCACCTCTCCCTTCTCTACCTTCACCTCCTCCCCCTCCGGAAACTCACCCATCTCCATCGTCACCACCACCTCCTTTCCACCTACCTTAAACACCTTCTCCGTCTTACTTACCACCTTCTCTGCCTTGCTCACCCCCTCTCCGTCACTCATCACTACCACCTCTTCTCCATCACCAACCTCCTCCACCTCCTCATCATCACTCACCACTATCACCTCCTCTCCCTCACCCACCTCGTCCTCATCATCACTCACCACTATCACCTCCTCTCCCTCACCAAACCCCACCTCACCTCGCCACTCTCCACCCACTCTCCTCCTCTTCCTACGCGACTCCTCCCCATCTACAAACCTCCTCCTCTGAGATACAAACCTAACACTTCCAATCTCCACCTGGGTCTCCTCCGCTCCCACCAGGGAAGGTGTGGTTCGTTGCTCCGTCATTCTGTCAGCTTCTTCTCGTCAGGGACGTCTCGGGTGATCTGTGGAAGAGAAGAGAAGAACAAGGGAAACATTGGATTAGCTACATGTTTGGAAAAATGATAAGAATGTCAGACATGCATTATTATATATATAATACTTTATCATCATAACGATTGTAACGCTCCCAGGAGAAAGGATTGTTTTGTTGGGTTTTTTTAAAGCCTATCATAAAGATCTTGTCAGTTTGTTAGTGTTTGAGCGCTTAATCGGCTGCTCGCACTGTATGCTTCCCGGGAAGCTGAGAATGTTTCG